TAACTTCGTCCATTATAAATACGGAGCAAAATCGATTGCAAGCACACGAAACAGAACTGGTATATTTCAATATCATCTAACAAGTATGTATATATGATTTCCAACATTATTAGACCAGTGATAAAGTTAAACTTAAGAGAGATGCACAAATACAAATACAATTTGTAGTGTCATGAATTTATATTCTTCTGTCCACTGTGCATGCGATCTCATGTAGTGATGGAAAAAAATCTACAAATTGAGAATTTGTATTGTCATATATTGCATTGTAGTGGAGAAAAAACCTAGCATTTGTAGAGTTTGTTTTGTCATGTAGTCTTTTGTAGTGGGGTGCGAGTATCGGTGTTGGATATGGGTGTGAATGTGTGTGTGAACGGCTGTTGGTGTACTACCATACTCACATGCACTCCTACACCCACACCCATCCTGACATTCTAGGTTTCGGTGGGTTACATTTTTCCAGACTTCAATTTGTAGTCGTATTCGTGCAGCTCTCAAACTTAAAAACTGAGAGTGCTTGCAAACAACAAAACATGAGGAAACATGAAAATAAGGCATTTTAAGTAACAGAAAATAATTATCAGGACAGCTCTAATTGGCAATGTTCAGGATATGCAATCGATGGCCTTGGTCAAAGCAGCTCTCACATGTAAAATAGTCTTACTGACAACCATGTCACACACAATAACCTTTACAATGTTTACATTTCGCCGCAAATTGTGGTAGTAGATCACACAAATTTCACTCTTAGGAAATCAGTAAAGCAGTCAAGTGAAGAACTTCTTATAGAAGTTTCTCACTTAATGACGAAGCAGCACCACAAAAACTGTTTGAACATTGATGAAGTATGTCAACACTTAGGATTTGAACATGAAAGCAAAAGCTCTTCATTCACTGAATGAAAGAACCTCGTAATTTTTCAAACGCACTTCATAGCAGAAAATTTCCACAAAAAACAGCCTATTATTCTTCAACATGAGTATTGGTCAAAGAGTAGAGCGACCGAATGTATTTCATCGATTGACATATTTGTTTTACTAGGAGCAGTCATCCTATTCCGCGATGTTGCACATTGCGGAATCAGTTCCGCCCCAGGAATCAATTGCAACGATTCCGAAATCACATCCACGCTGCACGACATTCAATTCTGGAATCCATTCTAAAAGTTTCTAGGAATTCCGGAATCGATTCCAGAAAATACAAGCAACTCCTCACAGCTCCGTCTAATTCCGGAATCGAATGAAATCGGAATCGGTAGGAATTACTAGGAATTCCTGAAATTGCTATATCTAGTATTATTCTATCATCTGTTATCGACCTAACAATGATCCAATTCCGGAACGGAATTCCGAAATTGAATGAAACCGGAAGCGGCAGGAAGTACTAGGAATTTCAAGCAATTCCTAGGAATTCCGGAATTGCTATATCTGGTATGATTCTATCATCTCTTATCGATCTAATGATGATCCAATCCCGGAATGGAATTCCGGAATTCAATGAAACCGGAATCAGTAGGAATTACTAGGAATTCCGGAATTGCTATATCTGATATGATTCTATCGGGATCCGGACAGTTGCGCGTGGACGGTTGCTCGCCGGACATTTGCTCGCTAGGACAGTTGCTCGCCGGACAATTGCTCGCCGGACAGTTGCTCACGAATCACACGGCCACTCAATGGCATCAAGTAGCAGCCTCCTCCATCGGATTGTCTTTTAAAAACGTCATAAGTTCACCACCATGTACATCAACTTTAGTGTTTATCTTCCATAGTTGGTTCGATTTGGTGCGTATTTTGGTTATAAAGTGTGTGACACATACGCTCTGAATCGATAGTACAGAGGAATCGCCCAAACTATCCTGTCTACAGGAGGTCTTGTTGGATTCCGAAATTTGACTCCATGACGGACTATGAGTAAAGGTGATGTGGACAGTTGAGGAAGGGTGAAGAGAAGAGTTCCACACAATTACCCTCATCTTTACCTATATGAAATATCGTGCACATCCAAGCGAATAAAACGAGTTTTTGAAGTAACGACTACATTATCCAATGCGAAATTATCATACAGACTTCGAAAATTGCTTAAAATACATCAGAGTCTGTTACCTATACGGAAATTTTCCAGCTTTCACCTATTTTTATTTTGCATCGCTCTTTTTAAAGATTATTTTCGTGGTTTATTCATACGTCCACATCAAAGCAGTTTTGCGAGCAAGTGTCCGGCGACCAATTGTCCGGCGAGCAAATGTCCGGCGAGCAACCGTCCGCGCGCAATTGTCCGGCGAGCAACTGTCCTAAACCTGATTCTATCATCTCTTATCGATCTAATGATGATCCAATCCCGGAACGGAATTCCGGAATTCAATGAAACCGGAATCGGTAGGAATTACTAGGAATTCCGGAATTGCTAT